ATCAACGTTATTTGTGTTACATAGTGTGTATAAGCTGAAAAGGGAAATATATTTTCCAATAAAATCTTCCAGGCTGAAAATATAGAACAGTTTGCTTGAATCCAAATGTATATTGCTTAGTCTCCACAGGAAAGTAAAGATGTATTAAGTCATATGTCAGCTGAGTTGAATTATTGATGTTGAATTAAACATGTTGAACTCGGAGATTCATCAACTTTATAGTATTATTTGTTAGAAAAGTACCCCCTTCTATCTATTTGGACTGACTTTTTATTATCTCTCTTGTTTATTATCTCTTTTATTTGAGTCAGTGGTTGCTGACCTGACTAATGGCTTTCATCTTTGTACTGCAAGCTGTTTCCATATGTGCAGGTGCTGTGGAATTTATTGTCTTTACATTGAAAAATCAAGATCTAGTCAATATGTTTGTAGATACTTTTTTAAAATGAAAATATTCTTAAGGTAGAATTAAGGTATAAGATTTAGGACATTCAGATTTTTATGTAAGATGGATTTAAGAGTCAGGATATTCTGACTAAAGGATAAAAATTCAAAATTTCACCAAATCAGAAAACACATAGTTAGAATTCCAGAATCAGCTGTGAATTGCCTTTATATACGTGTACCTGGTGGAAGGAATTCTGTTAACTGTGTGCATGTAAATTATGCTTAACCTAAAAGACCCAAATGTATATTCTTGATCCCTACCATCTTCATGGGAGAGACGTGGCTTCCATCGTGCCCATGATATCCAAGAGGCTACTTGTGAGCTCAGTGATTATGCAGAGCCACGCAGCTCTAACCCATATATGAAAAAAAGGGAAGAAATAAGTCTTCTGGGACACCTCTTAATTACAATAGCTTATTCCCTTGTAGGCATAAGACCTGGCTTATCTCGGGTGTAGGTCCATCCTTCTCAGGGTCAATCTGTGATGAATTGGTTGATGGCCACTCAGTGTCCCAGTGTGCCCAGTTTGGGTCTGCTGCAGCACGTGGGGATGGGGAGGCTGGTCACCAGTCTGTGAGGAGGGAGCTCAGCTTCCAGCAGTAACTGGGTTTAGTCTTGTCCAGGCAGGGGCAAAATTGAAATTTCCTTCCACTGCTGAGAAATCTCAAGTCAGTGTTGACCCCACCAGCTACGTTGGGCCTGGGACATCTCCCACCCCCACCACGGACATGGTTACACCAGCAAGAGAGAACCTGAACTGGTATGGACTGCCCTTGCCTAGTTCTGCCTGTGGAAAGGCACAGGGAGCCTGTATCATCCTCTTTCCTTCACCCAGTCATGCCAACTGAAGTTAGTGCATGCCTCTTAAAAAGCGTGTGCCTTTGGCAGGGGGAAGCTGGATTGGAAGCTGATTCAGGAAAAAACTGTTGTAGCAACCAAACTTCACTGCAGAAACACCTTCTGCTCAGGTGTCTCTCAGCCAGATTCTTGATTCTTTTCTTTTTTCTCCGTGACTGTTTCTGGTTTGGAGCGTGTCATTATAGTGACAGCTCATGTTCTGAGAGCTTGACTGGATGATCTGCAAGTCCAATTGACCCAACGACACATTTGTGGGCAAGTGCCCTTCCCCTTCTGAGAAAGCAGAAGGCCTGTTGCTAAGGCTTCCTCACAGGATCAATCCATGTTACTACAATGTATTTTTATTTTTTTTTTTTGTTTTTCATACTGTTTGGCGCTGGCTTTCCCTCAGCTCTTACACTTTCCACTTTAACTACTGTGCAGCAGGTACGAAGCTGTGGCTGCACGACCACCTCAACATGGTGCTGTGTGCCCAGTAAAGGGGAGCAGGAGCAAAGGGTGGTGTCTGCCCAGTCCCACTTCTCCACCAGTGAGCTTCAGATGGTATCACCAAAACGTAGGAACAGAAAACCCACACTTCCATCTGTTTTCCAGCACAGCCGTGTCCCTCTCCCGATGCTCTCCTCAGCTGTAGCTGACACAGTGCAGTGCCAAGAGCCTGTCAAGAGGGAAGTGATTTCTGAGTGCTTTATTGAGAGACAAATATGCACAATTAGGAGTAAATTCTTTGTTAGTTTAGATGGAGATTTGACCAATGTTTTTCTGCTTACACGAGGCTGGGAAGTGGCCTGTGAAGTTTGCTAGTCTCTTGATTTCAAGGAGTCCTTTTCCTTGGTGAAGTCTCTTGGAAGGTCCTCTTCTGTTCATATAATAAGATGTGGTGCTAATGACTCGAATGATACGCATTCTAACAGCAGTGAAATGCAAGAAGCCAAAACTACCTTAACAAATACGGTTCATTTAACTAAAAGAGGCAGACTGAGCAGCAGGTGGAAGGGTTAAACAAAAGGAAAAAAGATTATAAAAGTTTGCGGCTTTGGCTTCACTACAAATGGCTCTCTTGCAGACTTTATAGCATTAGTGTTGCTTCTCATAAACCTTGAAACCATTCATCCATTTAGAAAGATTAAATTGGTTAGTCATCCAGAACATAAAATATACACATCCGTTTTGTCTGTTACCCTCAGCCATCTGAAGTATAATAAATGCAGTTGATGCCATTAAACCAAAGCATCGAGTATTAATGATGGCCTCAGTTGTGGTATTTACAGTTTGCCAGCTCTTGTGTTTCTGATAGTATATTCATCTGGTGTTGCTCAGGGACAGTGAGAGCAGAGCCTTTGAGTTGGAAAACACAACTATAATATATAACGTGAGGAGCTCAGAGAAAACATCTTGGTATTAAAGCGGGGAAAATCCTCTAAATGTTACATTTTTTTTGTTATTTTAGAAGGTCGAAGGTAAGAGGCACAAACTTCACTTACGATATCTTAATGTATTTATAATAGTTTGTTAAACAGTTTGCCAAGATAGTTTTGTTTGGTTTTCTAGTTACAGATGAAGCTATTGCTATTTAAAGTTCTGTTCTGTTGTGACTTCTGTTGTATTTCTGTCACTTAAACAAGTGAGACAAAAATGGCCAGGCTCTTGCAAAGCAGGAATTTGTAGAGGCACTTGGTCAGGAACCAGGTTCGTGATTAAAAATATAATAAAATCTTAGATTTGATTTAGCAGCATTTTTTCCTTGATTAATATCAGGGTTTCAGAAGTACTACTCTGTCCCAGAATTAAGCAAATTTGCAATGGTTGCTTCAGACTACAAAGCAATTGAATTCCTGCTGCTTTGAAATATGTAAGACATTATTTCAAATGCAGGGATTTCCAGCGTACTGGAAATAACATTTATGTGTTTTTTAATTACTACATCTACTGCCTTTAATCAGAGCATCATCTTGACAGCATTAAAACTGGGAAGCAAATCCTATCCGAGTTTCCAGTTCCGTGCTGGAAATGCCAGCTCATTCCTATAAGAAACAGGACTGGAATTCTGGTGGCAGGAAAGGAACGAGGCTCCCCCCGCACACCCTCAACGTTTGTCTTTTACTGCAAATACAAATCACAAAACTACCAGGAGCGAGAGGTGATCTGAAAGAAGCAGAGCCTCATAAATTGTTTGTGTGGGAAAGGCTGTCTTTCCTTTTCTCTAACTGATGGCATGCCAAGTTTATTTTACAGTATTTACAGTAAGATTTGTTTGTTTTGATACCCTTTGTATGTTGTTAGGGAAAAGGCAAAAGAAAATCTCCAGGAAGTTTATATGATGAGACAGAGTTTAGGCTTTAATTTTCTTTCTAGCCCTATACGTTTTACTAGAAATGCAATATATAAAGGGATATGAGATTGCAATTGGGTGAGTTATTACTGAGCTGTCATTTATTTTCTCTGTATGAATCTGGTGCTTAAGAAAGACCTTGGCCCAGCAGGCTCAGAAAATGAAATTGTTAGTTCATTCTGGGAGCAGATGCAGGATGGGCAGGAACAACTTCTCTTGCTTCTCCTTTCTGTGCATCATCTCTCACCTTGGCGCATCACTCGGGGAGCAGGAAGAACGTTCAGTCTCTGCCAGTTTAGAGTTGAGGTCCAACCAGATGGGAAGGAGAAGAAATTGATCCGTGATGGAGCGGCCCTCGGTGGGGCTGTGCAGGCAGCAGATGTCTGCACAAGGGCTAATGTGCCCGCCAGCTCCAGCACCCTCCTTTGGAGGCAACTTACTCTGTTACAAAGAGAAGCCTCGGGTCTCCCTCAGCAGCCAGTCCTGCAGGAACAACATCCCTGCGTCACAGCATCCTCTGAGGACAAAGCTCCTGTGCCCTCCATTTGCCTCAGCAAAAAACCCCCATGTGCTAAAGGGAACAAATGACAGGGGAGCTCTAAATACACTGGACTATCAAAACTGCCCCCCAGAAACACCCCTTCCCCAAAAATGGAGCCTGACATCCAATGAGAGACCAGTTAAAAACACTTCAATCTTCCAGAACCTTATGTTCTTAAGACAAAATTTATTCCGTGACCGTAGCCCAGTCATTTGACCTCTCCTTTCTACTTTCTGCTTTCCCCTGTAAAGCGTTACTAGGAATCCCTGGGTGCTGTGCGGTTAATTAACGATTGAGAAGCCTGGGGGAGATGAAAAGAATATTGTATAAAAGCTAAATATGATGAATAGGCTCTCCCAAACGCAGGAGTTGAGAGGCTGCCTGCTTCTGGCAGGTGTAAACTAAACAGTGACTAGTTGTGCCAGCATCTCCCGGTATTAACTTTGCACAGAGAGATTTACCGACCCTAAAATACTCTTCTCTGCTTCATGGTGGGGAATTTCCTAGAAGGGAATTCATTTTCTGGAATTTCTGTGCGCCGTCTTTTCATCTTGCAATTACAAATGGGGGCACCTGACTAATGACATTAATTGGCTAATTTTTTTCAAAGCCATTGCAAAGATCCAGATACCCAGTTTGTGTTAAAAATAACTTACTTGCTTGTCTGGCACCCATTTTTGGAAGGTCTGAACTGCACTGATAAAAGCCATTTGGTAACTGATAGTAAAATAAATCTGGTTTATCTAGTAAGATAAATCTGGTAGATCTGATAGTAAATGCTACAAGTATAGAATATGCTCACGGCGCTTTCTATTTCCTAGGACTTGAAAGATGACCGGAGCGATGAAGAGGAGGAAGATTCAGTTACAGATAATGAAGAGGAGTCCACAAAGAATGGCAACAAGAACGGCTGTGGGTCAAGCAAACATCTCCTTAACAGCAGCCACCACTAGCCCCCTCCTGCCTCACCTCCTGCAGCGATTTCTGCTCTGTTTTCAACCCAACCTACAGGATAGAATTGAAGTCAAAAGGCTTATGAGAGACTGTGATTGATTTATTGTTGGCTACTGGACCTGGAAAGAAGCCCAGTTTAGAGGGGAGGGAAAAATTGCATAACTTGACAAAATGTGTTAATGACCCACTTTCCGAATCGTGTCGAAGTGTTTGGAAAGGCGTTTGGACGCGCCGACTGTTCCGCTCCGACAGCGCTCCGCAAGGTCAAAGCTCAGGATCATCAGATCGTTTAGTGTCCCCTTGATTCTAAAGTTGGTTTTCAACCTGCTGTAAGACAAATTTCCCCAAGCGGGTCAATTCACAGCTGTTTTGTGGTAGGTAGGTAGGTAGCGCGAACTCTGTTAGCAGCCAAAATTACTCAATGTGGGAAAAATTTGACAATGGAGCGCAGTGACTGGCATTTTACTCTTTACTTGTCAGTTTAAGCCCTCATCAAAGTGGCTATTTTTTGAGTTAGATTTCATTTCCTGGAGGCCAGTGAAAGCTGACTTGGAGGAAGTCAAATTATTTGCTTGTGAAGAGCTGACTTCACTGCGGAAGTATAGTCTTTCTCCAAAATACGCTGTACGGTAGCTCAAATATTGTGTTCTAAGATTTACCTGTCAAAAAAAATTCACTGTTAAAATAGCAAAACGCAGCCCCAATTCCCCATTTTGCTCCAGGTTTCACAAATGTCTTTCATCTCAGCCATTTTGGCCCAGTTTTAGAACAGAAGGTGCGGTGGGGAGGGAAGGTAGCGAATGAAAATTGGGTCGTTTCCCGGGTTCTTTTGCACTTTTTATTGGTCTTCAAAACTGCTGAACACCCCCTGCTCCTGACACGTCTACAGCCCAGTAGATTCAAAATTATTCTGGTGTGTTCCCTTCCTGTGAGCTTGTCTCAGGCAGGGGCACTGGCTGACTCTCCGCTCGGGAGTGACTCTGCTCCATTCTGCTTTGTGGGTCCCATCTGTGTTCTCTGCACGTTCCTGGGCATCGGGGGCACATGAGGCTGGTTGGGAACGTCACATCCTTGATGCTGTGTGGTCTTTTGATATCAGGGTCTGCATTTCCATCCCTGTTCTTTTTGAAAATGGGGAGTCACATTGTCTAGAGCCAAACTTGGATGTAGTGTGTGACTTAGGCCACGTACCGTTGTTTATGCTGTAAGAAGTGGAGGAACGGTGGGTGTTTTATCAGCTCCTCTCACCAAAAGTGCCTCTCTCCTACCATTGCACTTTTGAGCTGACACTAGTGCAGGGCACAGCAGTGTTTTTAGTCCAGAGGCTTTCCAAAGAGAGCCCAGGCCTTTTAGACAGGGTGGTACCAGTCTCATTTCCAGACGCATTTAGCTCACAAGGTCATAAATGATTTGTGTCATCAGTTTTACGTGCAGGGCACAGCGGCGTTTTTAGTCCAGGGGCTTTCCAAAGAGAGCCCAGGCCTTTCAGACAGGGTGGTACCAGTCTCATTTCCAGGTCATAAATGATTTGTGTCATCAGTTTTAGTGGTGAGAGGCTCTCCATGTGGTTCTACAGTAGCTGAGATCATCTGGTGAACTAAATCCAGTAGTTTGACAGAGACCAGGGGAAGCACTGCTAAAACAGACCCGCTGCAGAGGTTTTGGTTGGGAAAGGCTCTTTTCCCCTTAAGTCTGCTCAGGCAGGAACTTGGTGACCTACGGGAAGCTCTCCATGGCTGACTTGTTTTCTCAAGGTTTCCTTGGCAAAGGGGGATGTGATTCAGTGAAAGAATGGGAAATGTTTGGGATCTCAGATATGAAGCTTAAAGTGTTTTCTGTGCAGTTACAAGAAGCTGGAGGAGTACTTTGTTAGAGAGGCTGGTAGTGTGAAAATATCCACGTATGGTCTGTTGACCTAGGCTGTGCTTAATTTTTACTTATATTTGGGACCATGTTTGGACAATGTTTGTGTTTTGCCACAAAGAGAATTACACTGAGAAAGGAGTGTGAACTCCAGCTTCTGAGAAGGATGAGGAACATACAGTGGTGGGACAGGAGTCCTGAACCAGTGCCTGTCATGAAGTGGTGCTGCTGGGGCTGAGTGGGCAGAATTCCCTCAGCAGTTGTTGTAGAGCAGCCTGCTTCCTTACATCGCTGCGGAGAATACCTTAAATGCTGCAGTGTGGCTTTATTGGAAGTGTAAGGACTTATTACATCACCGAAAGCAACTGGTGAGTTTGGCAGGGTCACAGTTGCTTATCGGGGCCTGTTTATTGCCTACATGAAAAGAATTGGCTTTTCCTAACAAAACGTAGAAACCCGATGTTTTGGAGGCTTTACGCTCCCTCTGAGAGCAGTGGAGATGAGGATGGTTTCTACAAGACATTAGCAGGGGTTTGGGAGATGGCCCAGGGTATTATCATCTGGTTTTGGTGCCAGAAAGCTTTCCTGCTCCGACTAGGGAAGGAATTCAGCAAAGGAAACACAAAGCGTGATGTTGTCACAGGAGCGAGCCTCTGAACAACTACTGAGTTTTAAAGTGGAATTTATAGTCTCGTTGAGGCCAAATCCTGCCCTTCCCACTCGGACAAGTCTCCCACTGAAGCCAATTAACTCCATTGGAGTTTTGCCTAGGAAAAATTTTGGATTGCAGTTGTCCAACCTAATTACAAGACCTGTTGTTTTAAATTGATGTCAAACTAGGGTCTTAAAGGAAGAGTACAAGGCAGATAAATACATTCACACATAAAACGTTGAGGCAAATTTTGGGTGAGTACAGAAGGATATGGAAGAAAATAATGTCCTGAAGGTGAAGATTAAGTCCAAGCACAGTGAAAAACCAAGTAACTATGTCACAGCGCAGTTAGGGGGTGGAAGGAAGGAAGGAAAACCATGGAAGGCCCTTCCAAGGGGTCACAGTCATCACCAACCAAAGTGATAAGACCTAAAACTTCTGAACGTAAACCACCAGGTACTGGAGATAAACAGCACAGAAAGAAGTGGGAAGAGATTGTCACAGTGGGACTGGACACACGTCCTGTGTTAACGTCAGCATTGGCATTCCTGAAGTTGTTTCATTTTCCACTTTTTCTGATAGAAACTGAGAAATTAGAAGCTGAGGTCATGGAGGACGCAAACCATGCTGAAGAAGTTAATGTCATGGTGCTTCAAGATTTTCAGTCTATTTGATGTCCTTAACATTTTTTTTTTTTGATGTTATCATGAAAAGAGTCTCAAAATGTCAGCAAGGAACAATTGTGGGTAAATATACGAGCAAAGGTGACAGAATCCAATGCATTATTTGGACCATTTCACAAGATGGGTCCTGGTTTAATGCTTGGACGTTGTGCATCAGGTTCAGCTACATCACTTTGACCGTGGCAAATTATTTATGACAGAATCACAGAACAAAAATGAAATCTTACTCCATTAGAATCAGCAGAAACTCTTCTGTTCCATGTAATTCCTCTGGATTTTGTTCAGGTCCCTGCTGTCGGTGTGTCCTGTGCTGCCTCTGTGCTTGTTCACTACATGGATTTACTGACCTCTGGATTCGATGTACAGATCTCCTCTACTCCACGGAACTCACTTTATCAATTTGTATTATTCACTATAATAATCTTCTATTTTTGTTCTTAATGCCCCTGGATTTGTCTGGTCAGTTATGCTACACACTATAAATAAATATTTTTTAAAAATAGGTATCTATGTAAGGATTTCCTTGTTTTCCTCACCTTGCAGAGTCCTCCTCTGCTTTCCATCCCCTCCCAGTTTTCCAATGAGGGCCCATTCGGGATCTAATTCCTTACTCCTCCAAGTTTTTCCCTTGCGTGGAAAAGGCTGGATGACCCACCCCCTTCGTAAGAGGTAACAGCGATGGGTGACAGCCGTGGGGTTTCTACCTGAATGTCTCATCAGAAGCACACTGGAGACAGCCTGGACGTGGCTGTGAAGCTGGCAAAGGCAGGAGAGCTCCACAGAAAAGAGGGGAGCTGTGCTGGTTGTCTCAGCTGAAAAGCTTTGCTATTTTTCCAATTCTTTCCATTTCTGCCTCCCTGGTGAGGAAGATCACAAGAGCTTCTGATTTACCATCCCTTCCCGTGGGCAAACAAATATAAGGGAAGGTGTTTCAGCCCAAATAATGAACTGGAGCAGAATACTTAGGTTTTATTATCTGAATTCTTTTTTTTTTTTTAGGCTTATGAGTAAGAATAAAGTTGATGGAAAACAAATCAAAACAGGGATGTGTGAGTTTTGGCTACAAACAACTTGCAGACTGTGAAGAATGAAAACAAAAAATATATCTTGCTGATTTAGGAAGAAAAACACGATCTCCACAGGCACTTCCCCCAGCTGTGGGTTTGAAGAGCAGCAGATGACCAGCGGGCAGGAATCAAAGTCCACGCTGAGAATGAGGACACGGCCTGGTGGTGAGAAGGCCAGAGGGAGCTGGTTGGTGGCATTGGCTGCCTGGAACCTGAGGAACGTTTCTGTGTGGAGCTACGTGTGAGCTGAGACTTGACCTCTGAGCCAACTTACAGGGGTCGCGTCCAAAATCACCGAAAATGTCTGTTTCCATTGTCCAGTCAGTTTTAAGGGCTCCTTCCTGTCTGTTTCTCACCTGTAGAATTTGAGCTTTGGCTGCCCAAGGTGTGGACATGGTACTGAGGTAGAGGAACACCTCTGATTTATTGATGGTCACACAGGACATCTGTGTTCCCACCAAGAATGTGATTTCTGCTACGAAATTTATGAAATCTACCTGATGCCCACGCTTTAGAGACAGAGTAACTGATGTGTGCCTGACAGTGAGGTGGCACCACAGAGAGGGAGCTGACCTTTCCTGAGCAGGGCTTCATGAACAAGGAGAAGAAAAGTGAGTGGAGGGCTTGGCCAACTCATCGCACGGGTTTTTCTTACAGCCATCTGTGTGAAAGACATTTAAAGGCTGCTTCCTCCAGCTCTTTCATGGGGACCATCTTCTCTCACTCTGTCTCCGTATTCCTGCGTGATGCTACTTGGTTTATGGAATCAGAGAAGTTGACAAACGAGGTCAGAGCTGTCATCACCCACTTGTGAGAGTGGCCAGCACCGAAAGCCTGGCAGGTGGATACCAAACCAGCAGCCCAGGGTGATCCCTGTCCCCTTTTGGTAGGAGACAGAGGCAGGTTCATGCTCTAAAATATGTACTGGTGTTCAGAAAGTACTGGAACATAATGGGGGAGAGAGAAAATCATTGGCCAGAAGAGTAGGATTCCTGCCAAAAAAAAAAGTTTCACTTTCTGTCCTGTCACCCATGTGTGTTAAAAATCTTAAGCAGCAGAAGGAGGTAAAGCCCTGACATTAATCCCTTGTCCAAGAATGGGATTCCCAGTCGAGGAAATGGAGGTGATCAAAGCAACGTCATCTTCACCCTCGCTGACCACAGGGAGCTTCAAGTAGGGCTCTGGGGGTTTATATAACTGAAGTACCCGCTGCAGGATTGCTTGGAGTTTCCAGCTTAACAGAAGACAAGGCTGAAAGCACAGGTCTGAGCTTCAAAGTATGACTCTGCAGATACAAAGTCATAACAACCCACGTAGGACAACGTTGTTCATGTTCCAATAGTCTGAAGATTTATGAAAATATCTTCTATTTATTCAGCTGGAAAGAGCCCTGTTCTTCTGGAGGTTTGTTACCCCATAAAGCATTCAGAGGAGACCCCATAATAATTTCAAAGTCAGAATCTCAGGGCTTGGTTTTGTGCTTTTCCTGCTGACTGAGGCTCCCCGAGAGTCCTAGAAGAGCTCCTGGAAGATTTGTGTGTTTGCTTTCTACACCAAGGAGCAGAAGAAAGCTGCTAAAAGGCCTTTCCAGTGCCACCACCTATGGGTAAATCTCTTGGTGTATGTCACAGGCTGTGTACAATGCAGAATGCAGAAGTATTAGCATTTCAGGAGAAGGATCTGTGGGAAGCAGGAGCTAAATCTTATCAGGTTGTGCTGAATCTTATCAGGCTATGCAAATCCTACCTAGTTCCTTTGCCATTTTGAAGGAGGAATTATTCAACAACCAAAGAATGTTTCACACGTCTCCCTATTGCAAGGGGCAGCGAGGTCAGACAGCGGTTGTACGTTTGGAGCTTTTTTTCCCCTTCAAATCCTATGGATCCTGCACAGATGGCACTTGAGCAGAGAAGAGGACACTGCAGCAACAGCCCCTTTTGCCTGAAGTGAGGACTGTCCTGTAACACACACCATACAGCAGGGCACAAACAGCATTTATTGAACTTGGAAATCGCCCCACGCACTCACTTCTGTGCTGCAGCTTCCCCTCCTGCACCCACCTCTGAATCTGCTCTGACATAAAATCCAAGCAGGAGTGAAGGTGGGATGTCCACCCCTTCTCCTGCCCCAGCATGTGTGGCTGAAATGAGGGAAATTTAATAACATAAACCAGCTCTGTCACGTTTCTGCACTGCGAATTGAACGAGATAATTTGGGCAATGATTATTGGGCAATGATTATTTTTTTAAAAAACATTTAGGGACTTACCCAAAGCAAACATCGGCGCTCAGCCACAGCTTCTGAGGTTAGTCCCACACCTTGATGGACACAGGGTCCCAGGAGCAGCAGTGGAGCCACCAGCCCACGGCTGAGTTGGTGGCCAGGGAAGGGCCACCCTCCTTTCACTGAAAGCTGGGGAGAGGAAGAGAAATTCCTACGTGGTAACACCGTGCTGAGGACAGAGAAATCTCCAAGTTTCTCCATTTTATACATCAGAGAAGGTTTTACTGCCTGCTGAGAGAACAGCTGCTCCTCTGTTGTGTGGTAGAGCTGAGGATGCCCGTGCGAAACATACAGCAAACAGCGCTGTGGGTCCCCAGGCCATGGCACTGAAAAATTTGAGAAAATGCCCCAAATGTGCGAAACGTGCAGCAAACAGCGCTGTGGGTCCCCAGGCACTGAAAAATTTGAGAAAATGCCCCAAATGTGGGAAGGCAACGTCCCTTGGGCCTTCCCCCAAGTCTCTGGCTGGCGGGTTCCCGGGGAAAGCCCGGAGAGCCTGGCTGTCGTGGGCAGGGGTGGGAAAGCCCTGGGCCACTGGACACCCCACTGCAGTGTTTAGGGCCACCCAAGACCCGGTTATTGCAGCGAGTGCCCACGAGGTGGCAGTAGCAGGACACCGCTCCCTGCGCCCACACGGCTCCCGCCCAGCGCTTTGTCCATCTCTTCGCCCTTTAAAAGATACCGATTCAATGGAAGATTCAGGTGTTTCTGGCAACTGGCAATTCCCACTCGGTCGGTCCCTGACTGTGAAACAAGCGTCCGGTACATCGCCGGGAAAAAAAAAGCACTGCAAATTCCATTGGGAGCGAGTGTTTGGTACCATCTGGAGGAGCAGTGTCCCCAGGGCTGGCACCTACCTGGGTGCCACCAGGCAGCCTTTCCCTGGCGGTGCAGAGCTCTCCTGCTGCCTCCCCTGGCACCACAGCTCTACCTGGCGTGTCTGGGGAAGGACAGATGTTAAATCTCTGGCCCACCTTTACTGCTTGGACTTTTTTTCACTACCTATTTAAACTTCCTATTTGTCAAGCCACGGCAGCTGGTAGCAAGGGAAGCCCCAGTCTCACCTCCACCTTTAATGTCTGTGATGCGAATAAGGATGATCAAATTCTCAGAATAATGAGGGTTATCCTGCCATTCCTCCTTAGGAGCCAGCCTCTCCACCCCAAGCTCTGTGTTTTGCACCATTGCCAAACAAAAAGCAGAGCTCTCAGGGTAGAAGGGTTTGGGCCAGGCTCAGTGCGTGCACGTACAAGGGAGGGAGCAGTGGGACATCCCCTCCCAAAGACAAAAGGAGGTGGAGATTGAGGAGCATCTTGAATCCTTTAAATCCAACAGGGGCTGAACATTATGGCCAAGGGTTTGGGAATTCCAAGTAGCTTTATTTAAGAAAAAAACTTGTGACCATGCACTGGGAGGGCACCCTACACCACGGACTAATCCCAGCTGTGTTCAGCCTGCCTGGTGCTCTCATCAAGGGATGGTGAGGGGTTACTGAGGACAGCCTGTCCCCAAAACACGGTCAATCACCAGACTGCTGAGTAGATCGACCGGAGAGAGGAGGAACACCTGTGCTCATGGGCTTAGGGCTACAAACAGCCCACCCTGCATCACCTGGCACCATCTCCCCACCAACAGCTTTCACAAGGGCAGAAGGATGAATTAATTGGGTGCTGGCAAAGACGAGGTAGAAGGCAGCTGCTCAGTGACCAGGGCTACATCACCCTGACGGGTACGATGTGCGGGGGCACGGACTGAGCTTTGGGTTTTGTGCTCCAAGAATATTGTCCTAAAACACCTCCAAAGGCACCGCAGCGCACTGCCAGGAGGCACCATCTCAAAGTACTCTCTACAGAAAGCTGTGCCCAAACTTCTTTAATGCAAGTAAGTAGCGGTCACTGCAGCCCCGGCACCATCCCCCCACCAACAGCTTTTACAAGGGCAGAAGGATGAATTAATTGGGTGCTGGCAAAGACGAGGTAGAAGGCAGCTGCTCAGTGACCAGGGCTACATCACCCTGACGGGTACGATGTGCGGGGGCACGGACTGAGCTTTGGGTTTTGTGCTCCAATAACATTGCCTTAGAACACCTCCGAAGCCACCGCAGCGCACTGCCAGGAGGCACCATCTCAAAGTACTCCCTACAGAAAGCTGT